TTTAGGACCAAGACCTCCCGTGAACCATGCGACAGCACTCCACCGTATTTCGGGTAGTTCCTTACTAGGGGATCATGAATTCCGCCTACAACTCGATAAACGATGATAGATGGCGGATGAGAATATACAATAAAGGATAACGGATGAGAATATACAATAAAGGATAAAAGGATAAAGTCTTCGCCGTTGATCAATCCCTTTGTGGGATGCGGCACGCATTCTACTTCCATTCAGAATCGTAGTGGCTTATTGAATGCGATGTGGCCTATACAATGACTTGCGGTGGCCAGCCGATGTACAAGTCAGTGTTTTATCCTCCCAGACGAATCTGGTACCAATTACCGTCCCCGGAGGGTAGAAGGCTTGGTTGGCCTGGGCGGGAGTCGACCCGGGATTCGAACCCGGCGCCGCGCGAGTGGTAAGCGCGCCACTTGTCACTACACCACCTCCGCCTCGAGAATACACAATACTTAAGAAAATGGGATCTCTATGAAAATCTACCGGGGTTTCCACCGCTCTAATGAGACAACACTCGCATCAGTGGAAACAGGACAAATATGTCGACAGCAAGCCTAGGGGGTCCTACAGAAACGCTGTGTTGACCGTGCAGCGCTTAAAGGCACGTTCCGCGATAAACTAAGGCTAGGTTCTCATAACCGTGCACGACGGTCAAGCAGGCAACGTCAGAGGCTATGCTGCTTTTAAAAGTTGAAAAACAGCAAGCAAAACGCAGCGCGCTCAGGTTTTAGGCCCATTGGCGCCCGATAGGCCCATGCCGGCCTCCAGTGACCGTGTCGTTGTGAGACTGCCATTGCGCTCTCTCGCCCGTCGTTTTCTGGCCTCTCTCGTCTCTTATCAGTGTATCGCCGCCTTTTGCAATCCACAATCGATCTTGACCACCTTACGCTCGTCCGGTGATCATGATCAATTGAAATAAAGAGGGTCTTATTGCGGGCGCTTTTTCGTGGTTCCTTCTCTTCAATAAGTCAACAATCACAGGGCAATTCTATTTTTGAACTGTATTACCTATGAAGTGTGGTCGCGGGAATTGCCTTTAAATTTTCTGTCCTTGACCCTGCTGAGAAGGTGCCAAATCCAGTAATTCTCGAAAATCAGCTTCAACTGACGTAGAGATTGTATCATAGCTGTTGCATTAGAGGCCAAACAAACTGACGAAGTCAGACGAGCTAACAAAAGAAACTCCGCGTTTGTCGGCTCCATTTACTCCCATCTCTACCACTGAACCCTCTCTCTTCCTTTCCACCTCGCACCCTCACATCGTAAGCACCAACTCAGCACAAAGGGTGCCCCAGGCTTAACGCTCGAGATGCCGCTCTGCGCGTCCTCACGATCACCGACCACACGGACACCCTGTCTGTCTGTGCTCTAGCTCTTCAAATGGCGCTTCATACTTTTGTATTGTAATTTTAACAGTGTCAGGAGCAATCGTTCGGGGAGATTTCGACATGCTTTTCCTCGAACATGTTGGTGGGTATTCGAATAATTTGAATATTCTTGGATAAGTCTGCAACGTCACGTGTAATTATTGATTACAGATGGTATAATAGAAGCGGGGGTCACATTTACCATCATTCAATTACCAGTTTTCGTGTGATTGTCAAAAATTCTACTTAGAAGAGAGCTACTCCGATATCTGTGAGGTAATGGGATCCTGAAAGCGATACATCGTCCATTGACCATAAGAAGTCCAGCATCTCAGTGAAGTGTAATACTTCTCTGGTTCCATTTCTTATCGAGCAAACCAGTTTTTCATACGTTATTGAAATAAGCCCTGAAGACACCATCTGCATGCCTACTTCATATTTAACTGGAATTTTTGTAATGACTGCTGGCGCCATAATAGCGCGCTCTACTCGACTCCCCATCATTGGCGCGAACATTCAGATTTTGAATCTTTAGGCTTCTTCTCGTTCTGCACAGTAAAAATGTACAGCAGGTTAAAGGACGTGTCGTAGCGATTGCTTCAAGTGCATTAGCACATTCATAATTGGCACATTTGGCACATTCATAAAAGTTCACATCTCACTAGTTGGAACTTACAGTGAGTTCAGTTTTATTCACACCTGATTAACTCGCTGTTCCCTATTTAATACCAGGAAAGTCCTGCCAGAAAAAGGGCTAAGTTCACATCGGGATGTCTGTGTGACATGCGCAGAAGTGATCTTTGCAACCAACAGATGTTCCCGTCTCCTCGGGTCGATGAGACTCCATTTCTCGTGCATGTGGTTCAAACCAAATATTTTATTACATTTTTGTTTCCATAGTGTCTGCGCACTGGCGATGTTCAGGCTCATGTTCAAGCACTGTATCGATGGTCAATCCAGGTAATACTTCACGAGTCATTATGGAAAGTAAAATTTTTGGTGGAATGCTATCGAAATTGCCATGTGGCGAACCACTAATGAACAATAATGCATTGACAAGGACAAACCACATCAAAATAGTAAATCATCAAAAAGCAAAGCAAAATAAATGGATTTGACTCTATTACATCCATCCGCAATACTGGTTTGACACCTCTTTCACTTGGCTGTGCTACCCACCACCGTGACACTTTTCACACCTCTGATCCTGGCTGGTAGCGAGTGTAAAATCTATCATTACTGAAAAAACCTATTCAGTCTCGCACATGCAGACTGTAAAAAGTACTGCGTTGTGCACAGTTGATATCGTTGCAGTTCTGCGAGGTGGTATGAAGAGACGTGGATTGAGCCACCCGTCTGCTGCTGTTACTGCTTGTTGTTCACCAGAACTGATCTACCTTTCTACCAGAATTGGTAGAAAGGCCAACCGCTTCTGGCTTTTGCCACGCCTAGTGATGCCGTCCGTGCGCACTGCGACCAGTGAACAGTCCTCAGCATTTGCGAGCGTGGCAGTGCGGTGCGTTTGGTTGCGGTTGGCAAAGTCTTCGTGAGCGCACACGCGTTTTTGAAGCGGGCAAGCGCATTACTGTATTATACCCTTCGTATTACTCGTTTTCTACGTCGCATCGCTGCAACAAAAAAGGCTGAGAACGGCTTCAACAGTGTGCGCACTCCTTCCTGCTGGGCTGACACCCCCACCGCAATGATGAGAACTGTATTAACTATAATTCGCATTACAAACGGCCACTTCGATGTGGCGTACTTCAGTGGTTAGAAAATGTCAAACGATGCTAGACTGTAGCTGAAGTAGCAGCGCTGCTGTGGCTTGCTATGAAGCGTCGTCGGTTATTCATCAGCTCCTTCACGCAAATACTGTACAGATTGAACGACGATGTCTGAACCAAGCCCTCAAATTTTTCAGTTATTGTTTCTGCTGTCCGGAGCCCTCAGGCCAATGTGAATTGTAGGGATCATATTAAAAGAGGCACCAAAAATTTATTGTAAAAAAAACTACATTCTAAATTTTTGTTCTTATTTTGGCATTAAGAATGTACATAGTTCCCCAAAATGCAAAGAATTGTCTGTTGCACTGAAATGTATAGTTCAATATACACTAATCATGTGTAATTTCCCGTGAAAAAGATGTACTCAATAAGGGCTCGAGCGAATCGTGCCATGAAATCAAGAAATTGTTCGATATTTGACAACATTAATCAAATACATCTCACAACATGCTAGAAATGCTCCCTAGGAATGTGGCTAAAAACCCGAAAATAAGCTAAATATTGTGAGTAACCAGTAAACAATTCAGTCTTTCCATTCAAGGTTCAGAACCCTCTGCAGGAAACTGTACACATCAACAAGTTCAGCTATCTGTAAAAATATTTCTCATCGAAAATCATGAATAAATCTAAGGCAATCGAATCAATAACGCACCAATTTCTCAGTAGGCTTCCCTCCACCATGACCAGCTTTCACCTCGACACGTACTAGAAGTGGATTGGTCTGGAGCTTGTGTTTTTTGGCCTATAAAACAACTTCTTAGCGCGAGAAGCCATCAAATGCAGGAAAAATTCTGGCGTTTTCTTATCGTTTTTGTATTCGAGGGTAAATCCGGTAATCTTACAATCTGACGCGTACCAGGAGGGCGGCGGTCAAAAAAAAATTTGACGCGTCCTTCCTTTTCTGGCTTTTATGGTGTGAGGGAATCGGGAAGATGGGAGTGGGGGGGGAACGTCAATAAAGTCATTTTTCGATATCACCATCCCGGCAATAAGGGTATTGGAATAGTGCGCTCGTAACTGTTCTCTCAGATCAGCCGTCCACAGTAGCACTAAAGAGAAGGAATTGAAATAAAGCATGGCGCACTCTGGAACTTAGAACTTCTCCAAAACACGGTCTTCTCAAATTTCCTGCTTTGGTAGGACTCCCTCTCATATTCTGAGTCTTAGCAAATTTTTCAAAATTTTCCCATGAAAAGAGGGGACGGGTTGCATACACCTACGATCAGCTATAGGAAATGGTAGTTTCATGCATCGGCCTCTGGTTGTGTGCCTTTCACGCGAAAATTGCTAGGAAGGTGGTTGGTTCGCCATTTTACAGAGCTCTCGGGTACAAGGCGCACGGCTGCGGCAGCGCGCGCAAAATGCTCCTAAAAGCAGCATAGCTTTTCTGGTATATTTTCGGCATATTTTAAGAACCTGGTTGCCTACTTTTCAAAACAAACCACTAACGCAGACAAGAACACACGGAAAATACGCTCCGAGGCGAAGGTGCGCCTATACCGAGTAAATAGGTAGATTCGTTCTGAAAGGAGAGCACTTCCGTAATGTTCCCCAACCAGCTAACTCTTTCTTTGCCGTTGAACCATGACAAATGAAAAGGGAACTGCATGTGCCTCCTTTTCATACTGAATCACATATTCACTTCGTCCACTGGTTGTGGCTACAGAAAATAGAAGACATATTCACTTCGTTATTCAGAGAACCTTTTTTCACCATACTTCGAGGGCTCTTCAAGGCTGTTATTGTTTGATAACTGCTGTTTAACGCCGCAGTGCGCGATCCGAAAGTTATCACAAGAATGCTGAGTTGTGGGCAAAAGTCGGACCACGGACGAGTGGCCCCGGTAGCGTAATAGGGAACGCAGCTGCCCGGTAAGCAGAAGATGCGGGTTCGAATCCCGTCCGTGGTCCGACTTTTGCCCACAACTCAGCATTCTTGTGATAGCTCATCAGAGTATCAAAAAAGAAGCATAATTAACCTTTTCATACAATGTAGCCGCATACTTCAACGTATGACTTGGAACAACGCGGATCGTCATGATCAGCAGTCATCAATAAGGTTGATGGCCATTGCCCATCTTGTGGGGAATTTCACATTATGTAAAGGAGAGTACCTTAAAGAAACTATGGAGGAGTTAACGCTTTTAGAGTAAACAAAGAAGGTGGCGAATTCCGCTCCTCTACGTGGTGCCACTGAGAACTGCTCGCTTTTGCAAATGAGTTGGTCGCGGACATCTGAATGCAGGTGACAGGCCTTCGTGACAGGCCGGCCTACTGATAGGTACCTCATGTCACATCACCATGTTTAAAGGCAATCAGCAATCATTCGCCATCACAGATAGAGGATTAACGCGCATATAGACGACAAGGTGCTGATAAGAAGAGTTCTATTCTTCTGCAAAGAATTTTTTCTCTCTAAGGTAGTCCTAGTCCTCATAGTTATTTTGGAGTTTCTATTTCAACTATTTCTAAGTGCTCAAATCGGAGTATTGTGTAGTTTCGGCAGCCTCTCTTTTTTCATCAATTAAAATGCTAAAACGACACAGGCCTATTCGCTGACCTGAGTAACCCGATAGTGAAGAAAAAAGCAAAAAAAAAAGACATGGCAACTGCCTTAGATAGAAATCTATTCCGATCCCAGATTGTGCGTGCGCAATGAACTCCACCTCATACGCCTCCATCCGCTTAGCTGATTCCCCGCTGAGATCTCTACGACCGTTCATGTGACGATTTTCATACTGCTTTTCGTCCTGCAGCTTGTTTTCCACTGAAAGACGGGCCTTGAGGGTGGAGTCTGAGGCAGGTCACTGGAAAAAGGAGACATCACTCAACTTATATTGCTCAATAGCGCCCCTCCCTTACAATTTTTTGCCGCGAAACCGGTACAAGGTTGTTCGCCGCGGACCACACTACCCTCCCGACGCCATATTTTCAACTTCTATACCTGATCGCGGACCGTGGGTTTAAGTACGCCACGTGACTTCTGAGATAATGTACGGCGTCCGCAGCAGCCGACGCGCACGCACGCACGGCCACGCAAGGCCTAGCGAGTGTGAAAAAATGGGAGGGATACCGATGCAAGGACGGCATCGGGGGAGAGGGGGCAACCAAGCTAGTCAGAAAGTGCTGCAGCGTTACGAAGACTCGGGTTGCAATGCTTAATATGATGTTCTATTACTTCTGCGTCAACGAGGTTTTTTAGGTGGAACTTTATTCACGGCCTAACGTTTCGACCAGATCGTCGTCCTCAGAGGCCAAGTCCACCGCGGCATGAGCGGATCAACGCCGCTCCACTAGATGTTAGTAAAGTAAATCCTCAACCTCGTTGACGCAGAAGTAATAGAACATCATATTTACAACAATGCCGAGGTTCTACGAAGAGAGAAGTTGGAGACTATTGCAACGCTGAATGTTGGCACGCTGACTGGACGCTCGTATGAGTTAGCAGAAGCCCTAGAGCGTAGAAAGATCGACCTCTGTGCCGTGCAAGAGACGAGATGGGTGGTTGCAAGTC